TATTTAAATTCATGAAACTACTTCTAAAATAAAGTTGTAAAGAATTCATACCTTTGAGTTACTTCAATATATCATTTTGAGATTAGTAATATTGATATTTTTAAAACATCTTGACTTAGTAAACTTTCCAATAATTAAAGATGATAATTTATGTGAACCATTGGCATTTAAAATTAAAGCAATAGAAAGTTATTCTTTGTTTTTTTTTATATTTAGAAAATCACATTGTGACCAAAGTTTTGTCTGGTTTTAATTGATAAAAAATGGATAAGTTTTAATATAATAATAAATTAAATTAATAAATAAAAAAAGGATATATGCTGATAAAAAGCCTAGTCTCATTCATATTATAAATTTATTCAGATGGATAACTAGTATATTTGTTATGCAATAATAATAATACTTCAGCAATATTATCTTGATTAATAAATATCGCTTTCCTTTAAAGTTTTTCTTGATGAATACTATTTCATTTTTTAAACATATATAACTAACCAGAAGAGAACTTCAAAGCCTTTTCAGAAATTTCCAATCTATTGCTAATAATTTGGCTTTCTCAATCAATATTGTATCACTCAATATTGCTTAATACTGATAATTTAAAACAAATTTCTTTAAAGCAAATTTAAGTTTAAAAAAGATAACTGATTTATTTCATTTTGTTCTAAATGAGTAACTTCTGTGATAAGTAAGAATATGTTCACAAATAGGCAATTACGAAATAATTGCAATTTATAATATTGTAGACAATTGTGAAAATAAAGGTTTGATTCCACAATTTCAGCCAAAATTAATATAATTTTAGCCAAAATATATATTTAAATTTATTAAAGCATAACACTGCCAATATCAATGCTAGAATGCTGATTTTACCACTATTCAAATCCTCTAACTGAGTCGAATCGAATAATATAATATTTATCAAAATCCAATTATTGGATCATGTTTCATTTCTAAAATTGTTAAATGTTTGTATGGTTATTTCTTCATCAATATTAGTGCTAGAAATATGAAATTTATACCATTTAAATCCTTGTATAAAGATGAATTGAATAATATAATATTCATCAAAATTCAATTATTAGATCATGTTCTGTTTTCAAAAATTGTTAAATGTTTGTGTAGTTATTTCTTCGTCAATATTAGTGTTAGAAAGATGAAATTTATATCATTCAAATCCTCCTATAGAGACGAATCGAATGATATAAACATCATCAAAATCCAATTACTAGATTTCAAGTAATTTGTGATTTTGTATTTACACAAATTATATCACAAATCACGTTATTTGAATTGCGGAATTGCAAATTACTATATGTAATTCAATTCAATATTCTGCAATATTGCAGATTTGAAAAAATAATTACAACATTATCCTTAGTGGTAAATCATTTATTTATTGTAGATTTATCAACTCTAATGTTTAACTTTTTTTCAATTTAATCAGTATATTGAGTTTAGGTTAACTTGTGTTTATTGGTAAATAAACAAAGCTCATATTTTTGAAAACTTGAAAGGGTCACTTTTTTTTGTAGAAAATGCTATGTTAGAAAAAAAGAAAAAAAATATATAAGGCTACTATAAGAACATATATAAAATGCAATAAATTAATAAAAAAATTTCATGATATAAATTTAAACAAAAAAACAAACATATTGAATATATCATTTGTAATATTAGGCAAAAAAGAAATATTAATTAGCAGCATTCTATTTAAACTAAACTATAAATCAAAGTTGCTAAATTGAAGTATAAAATTTTAAGTAAAAAGAATTGGAAGTAAAGTTTAGAATTAAAAGTTATAAAAATTAGAGTTTTTGAAAGTTAAAGTTATTTAAATTAAAAGAAATTAGAAGTAAAGATTTGAAATTGAAAGGAGTTAGAAGTTAAATTGAAAATTATTAAAGTTTGTGATGATTGTTAGAAATGGTGATTGTTGTTATTATTAAAGTTAATAGTTATTGCTATTAAAGTTGACAATTGTTACTGTTGAAATTTGCAATTATTGTTATTAGTAGCATTATTAAAGTTGGTAGTTATTATTGAAATTGAATTTGCAATTGAAATTTGACTTTAAAAATTATGAAGATAATGATAAAACCTCCAATAAAGTTATTAAAATCTAGATTAACTATGTTTAATATTGGAGAAAATAAAGACTAAAAAAAGAATATATAATTTTTTTTTACTTTTTCAGTATTTATATGAAATAATTGAATTAACTTTTTTTAATGATAGAATAAACTATTATACTAAAAAATATACAATGATAAAATATTTATGATAAAATTATGTATTATATTATATAATTATGTGAGATACATTTAAAGAGATGATTGCATATTAGTTTATATTAAAAATCATTATACAATGTAAAAAGGCAGGGTGTGTATTTATAGAAAATACATTTATAAAGAATTGACTATATTTATCGTTTTATTAGAATATTTTTTTTATACTTTTTTTAAAAAGTATTATTAATTTTTATTTGAATTTGGCTCTACTTTAGGCTTGAATTTTGCTTAACTTTGACTTGAATTTAATTTGATTATTTTTGAGTAAAGTTAAGTTTAATTTAAAATTTAACGTAAGTTAAATGAGTCAAAATTTTTTTGATCAGATTTAATTTAACTTAACTAAACATGTCTGATTCAAAATTTAGCTTGACTTATTCAAAACTCTATTCAGAATAAAAATAATCTTATTCTTTAATTTTATTTATAATTTATTAAATTAAACAATTTGATAAGTTAAACTTAATTTCATAGGCATTTAGATATATAAAAAAATTAAGATACAATTATAAAATCTTTTTCAAACCTTAATTGTTAAATAAAATAATATATAAGTTTTTAATATTTTTATTATTATTATAATTAGTCTAAAAAGATTTTTATATTTTTAAAATATAATGATTCAAAAACAAAAATCACAATTTATAATAATATTTATTTTGATTTATATTAGTCTTTAAATATAATTTCTTTAAAACCTTTAAATTAGATTTTTCAATTATTGTATTATAAAAATATTATGAAATTTATATGATTATAAAAATTCTTCTATTAAAATTTATAGCTAATAATTTTACTATTAGTAAGATTTTCTAACCTTTTTTTAGTTATATAATTTATTAGTAAAATTGATAATATAATTAATACCTAAAATTTGATATTAGGTTATTATTTTTAAAGTATTTAGATACTTTTATCTATATTAAAATATTTAAAAAAAATTATTAATTATTTAAAAAGTAAAAATAATAATTTATATTAATAATTTATATAATTTATAAATTTTACAAAACTTTTTTTAAATATATTTAATTACAAATATTACAAATTGCCTTTATATATTGTAAAATTGCATAATATTTAATAAATTGAAAATTATTTTAAATTAATAATAAAGTTTTATATCATAATTTATATTGTATAATTTATATATAGAAATAACTTTTAAAATTTACCTAAATTAAAATTAAGTTTGAAAATTTGCAAATATATTATTATTTTGAATTAAAATATTTTATGTCATTATCATAATTATCCTTAGTAATTTAATTTCTTATCAAAGTTTAAAAATAATTAAACCTTGATTTATTATTTAACATTTATTCTTTTGAAATTTAAATCATCTAATTAAATTATAATTTTTAATTTTATTTCCTTATTTTAGAATTTGCGTGCGAATCATGCAAAGAACTGTAAGTCTATAAGTCTATAAGTTTGGAAATAAGATATATTAATAATGTAATTTATTAATCTAAATGAAAGATAAAAAGAATTCGTTTATTTTGAACCAAGGTTTTTTGTTAAGAATAAATTAGTACTAAATCTGTACTATTTAAATACATCCTTTTTTTAACTTTGATACTTTTTCAACGCTGAAATATCATCAAGCATAGCGCGAATTTCCTCATCAGATCTTTTAGATAAGCTGTTAAATGTTATTTTATTTTTTATTTTTAAAAAAAAGAACAATAAGCAAACCGTTAAGATTGAATGAATGATATTCCATCTCACCTGGGTATTAACGATTTAGCTTCGTCAATTTCTTCACAAACTAGATTTGCCAATTGTGCTAATTCATACTTGTGAAGTTTATGTCTCATTAAAGTTCTATAATCAATGCATAGATACATAATCATCATTAAAATCGAAAAGGGGTTTTTTTTTGTTATTATTAATAACAAGATCATTGATTACTCACTTTCGAAGTTCACGCACTGATTCATCATTATGAAACCTTGTAAATGTATTTACTAATTCCTCAGTTTTTCTATATACACTGTAATATATTTTATTAAAGGAAAAATGTATATTTAGGCATAATGAAATCAAGTTTATTTTGTCTAGTTAAAGATTTATTATAATTAACTTATTATTCTTTTGAGACGGGGGTATCTTTTCCAACAAGAGTGCTACTTCAGAAATAAACAGAAACTCTTCGTCCTCAAAATCTGTCAATCATTATAAAAATTATTAAAAGTCAAAACAAAATTATTTATTCATTTATAATAAGTAGAAGTTAAGATTTGTGTAATAAACCTTCGCCAAATTTCAACTTCGCAGCATCCTCTTCCTCTTGAGGAGCTTTACGTGAACGACGAGTAATCGGGACGTGATGAGACATACTGAGTTAACTTTTATAAACGAGAAAAAATTGAAGGAAATTTGGTCGATATGCTTATTCATTTCTGTTTTGGGTTTTGATTTAATTGGTCCGATCTTCAATAATGTCGATCAATGTAATATATATCACTTAAATTCCGCATCGTCTATCCTTTGATTTAATAAACTTTTGATTTTTTAAAACAAAAAAAAATAATTTAATAAATTAGAATACATTAATAAAATTACGTAAATCTACTTGCTAACATTAATACCGAATAATGCCGCTACTACTAATACAAAGTTCATCAATCTGTGAAAGTCTCAATAAAGTCGATAAATAACCAAATCAAAATCGAGAGTAAACGCGTGTTCTTAAACCGGGAATCACTGGCTTACAATTCTAGTTGAAGAAAAAGGTTGAACTTTTGGGCGTTGTTCGCGACTACGTCTAATTTGATTTTCTGATTGATTTGAATTATCAGAAATAAAATCTCGTCTTTGAGTTTCTACATCTATATCATCAAGTCCTGCAGCATTGCGATCATCAAGCAAGCGACGACGAAGTCGAAAGACTATTTCATCCAATGTCAATTCAATTTGACAATGGTTTTTAATAATAGAAATTTCTGATAATTGGTCAAAGATAAAAATAATAAGAAAATAAATTTTTTTTTTCGCCGAACAAAAGGATACTTAGCCAAGTGGCCCTTTCACCTCTTAACGTAGCTTCTCGCATGGATTCCGGAGTAGGATTAGAAAGGATCTTCAAAAAATCAGTATATGAAAGATTGGGAACTATAGTAATGTCTCCATAATATCGTTGAGACATAATAGACTGTACTCTATAAATTAAACTCGGAGCAATGCCAAACTCGCTCAACTATTAAAATAATCAGTATTCAAAATCATTATCATTACCAAAATAGATTATTATATTAATAAAATAAATATATATACCTGATTCATCCGATGTTGTAATTCAGATATTGCAAGAAATAAAAACCATCCTGCCAATCGGCTAATCGGAGAAGGAATTAGATTTTTTTGCATGAATGGTACTACGTGCGGATTCACTACATGTATTTATAATACAAACAAAAAAATGGTGAATTGATTCTAATAAAATCGATAAGCATAAGAAAGAAACAAAACTTCAAATCATTTTACCTTGACAAACGATAAAATGATTCACATTAAAAAGTTCGGAAAGCTTGTTCATTGGTAAATCACTATATACAGTTTTCAATAATTGAAACCTTTAATGATCTATAACTAAATTAATATTAAATAATTTACGTACTTTTCCACTGATCCATCAATCCAGCGATGTCCTGAATAAATACGTATCTTTATTAATTACGAAATATATAAGCATAAGAACAATGTAAAAACTTACCAGAAGGATTCCAGTGAATTGTATTTCCAGACTTATCTTTTGCCATCAAAGGAGCCGAATTATAAATGAAAGGGACAGAGCACGACGCTGCACTACAATAAACATCGTGAGTTCGTTCCTGAAGGATAAATACTATACATTGTATATAGTGTACCACATACTTAAATAACACTTACACAGCCGACCAGATTAACTAAAATTACCAAAAAAATTATATATAAATCAGAAAAATGTAACATATATCCTTATATAACCTGCTAAAATAAGATACGTACCACATTTGGAGCTGTCAAATAATTCAGAAGTCGAGGCATCTCATAAACCGTAGAAGAGCTGACAGTTATATTCAAAATTCTTCGTGTGCGATTATAAGCTTCCTATTATATGATTATTATTATTATAATCGTTGAATGTTTATTCAAAACAAAATGACAAAAGTCCTTCCCTAACCTGAAAAGTCATATCAGGAATGTTTCGACGCATACATTCCCTTAAAATGTCTACGTCAAATAAAACTCCTAGAAAAAATTTTCGTCAATTAATTAATTTAGGTTCTAATTGTAGCGATTTAATTTATAATAACAATCACCTTGTTTTAGGAATCTTTCTAATCTTGTCAACCAAGTATCTGGTTCTGATGATTTTTCGAATACTTCCTAGAATTTTCATTAAAAGGAAATATTAGTCTTAAATTAGATTTTATTTAATTAAAAGATGAATAAATGGCTGTACCAAGTCAAATTCTTCAGAGTTCAAAGCTTTTAATGTCATTGGTATCTCTTCATCTGTCTTTGTGCATAGAAGGGCAGCAATAATTGATCCGCTTGATGCACCTGATATAATACGAGGTAATAATTTACATTCATGAAGACTTTTAATCACTCCCACATGAGTTAGACCTGTGATCGATCGGTCGTTAGAAACATAGAAAAATTTAGAACATATAATTATAATAATTATAATATAAACACGCAGGTACCAAATGTGGCTCCTCCGCTTAATAAGAGGGCCGTTCTTCCAAAAGACTGTCTTGTATTAGTGAAAAATTCTAGTTTGTCTTTAGTTGATATGTCTTCAGATTCTGTGTCACAAATGATATTCATTTGTTTTACAACTTCGTTAATATAGGCTTCTATCAATTTCTTAGTTCCAATATTGGTATATGCATATAACTTTTATGATAATTGAATAGGTTAAAATGTATTGTTACACGAATAATATCCTATCGTGATATATAAATTTAATATACATACTACCTTCGGCTGGCCCATATCCCCGAGGTTTCTTGCAAGGGATGTTCTTAATAAAAATATCATTTGTGATAATTGACCAGTCTTACGAGCTCTTGTTAATTGCGCAAGACGTTTTTGTAATAGATCATAATCGTAATCTGGGGAAATTGCATTATGCTTCCATTCTTCCTTTCCTTATAAAAAGAAAAACAAGACAAATTAGAAATATTATCGTAATACATTTCTTTAAAAAAAAGAATATCGGATAAAGTAAGTACCTTGTAACTTATCTAGGATATTTGCTGCCTCTGCCCACTGCTCATAATTATTTGCGGTTTCTAAAATATGCTTATAATGTGATTGCGGATCACGACGTATCGTATCATATAGCCTCTAATTATATAAATATATCCGATTTAGAAAAAACTTGTGATACGACTTTGAACTTATATTAGGTATCTCATTAAAATACCTTTGCCCAATAAGAAGAAACGTCAAAAGCAACAGACTTTACACCTGAAATTAAGGAAGTAACAGTAGAAGAACGTGTAGTTTCTTGGTCTTCATTGATAGAAATTTCGTTATCTTGAATTTCTGAAGAAATATATTCTTCAGATTCCTCAGTTTCAAATGCTTGCTTATTTTGCGGTACCATTATGAATTTTTGAATTTTATACTTAAAACTTTAAAAACCATTTTTAAACGTTTTTTGTAAATTTCAGTTTTTACATATGATAATTAGTATATGTGGTAATGATGTACGAAATCAGAAAAAGATTATCAATAAAACGGGGCTGTTAATAAAAAACCAGTAAAACCTAAATAAAAATAAAAATGGTAGAAAGAAAAGCTTGGGTTACATTAGTGACAGAGAGTTCATATTTGAAAGGTTTACAAGGCCTAGCACGTTCTCTAAAACGTGTCCAAACGGCTTATCCTTTAATGGTCTTTCATCCTGATACTTCCATTGACCCTTCCACAGGTCAACCTAAAGAAAAAACTTCATTAACAGCAGAAGATTTAAAATTAATGAGCATAGAAGGATGTAAGTTGAAAGCGATTGAAAGAATCCATCCTAGTAATAAACGTAAAGAATACCTTTGGGGTTATTATAAAGATACTTGGACAAAGTTAAGAGTTTGGGATCTCGAGGAGGAATATGATAAAGTAGTCTTTTTAGATGCGGACATGTTGATAATGAAAAATATTGATCATCTTATGGAGATGAATTTACCAAAAGATTTTTTGTCTGCTGCTAATGCTTGTACATGCAATCCCAGAAAAAAACCGGATTATCCAAAAGATTGGTAATAATGGAAATTCTTTTAAAAATATACAAGAACACATTTAATTTGGTAACTCGATTTAAATATATCACCCTCTTTACATTAGGATACCATCTAGTTGTGCTTATACAAAAGGTCCAATTAAGCCAGAATCCGAGAATACACCACCATCCCTCGAATTAAAAGGATATTTCAACAGTGGATTATTAGTTCTAACACCATCAAAACAAATGTTCGAAGATTTACTAAATTATCTTCAAAATCATCCTAATATTAATTCTCTCAATTTCCCAGACCAAGATCTTTTAAATGAATTTTTTAAAGGGAAATGGATACCACTTTCATATACCTATAATGCTTTGAAAACTCTAAGAACTTGTCATGCTTCTATGTGGGACGATAAAGCAATTAGAAATGTGCATTATATTATGGCTGATAAACCTTGGATTAAGGAAACTATCAATTTCGAACAAGAATTTCAAGATGTTAAAGAAACTAATGATAAAGAAGCAATTTCTTTGTTTATATTAAATAGTTGGTGGTGGAAAGTATGGAAAGGAATTAAATTCAGCGTTGATGATTATTCAGTTTAATATTACAATGTTAATGTAATCCTTGATGTCAAATTTCCTTGCATTAAAGACACGATTTATAATTTTATAAATAAAAACATGAATGAAAGTGTCAGTATCACAGAAATCTAAACTAATACGAAATTTCTAAGACAAGACAAGAACCCCGTTTTATAATACAAATATCAATAATAGATTCATATCAAAAATTCCGCATGTTTATAAATTTTAATTATTAAATTAACTATTGTTAACCAAAGCACATTTTTCTCGGAATAAATTTTCGGCATCTTTCCATACTCTAGAAGATTCACGATCCTTTAATTCCAATAAACTAGGTAATAAATCTTTATCAAATTGTTCACTTGCTTCTCTCGGTAATAAAGTCGGTAAATGATCAATTGAGATGACCTCAAGAGGATGAGGATTACTAGAAGACCGGGTTTTAAGGAATTTTTTTTTAAAAAAGGAACAATTTGAGTAATTTTTTATAAAAGTCGTAACTTTAACTTACTTTGTTTCAACAGGCGCGGTTGGGTTATCAAATGTGGTATTGAAATCGTATATAGGAATGGGATTATTGGGATTTGTAGTATCACAACTAACATCTACAAGAACTGAAAGTTGTCTTCCTTGATCAAGCATTTCTTTAGTAAGAAATGGTGGTATTTTATGATTTAAATAAATACAATTAACAAAAACATCACAATCAAGGATTTCTTTAAATGGACCTCCTTTTTTGGTCTCTTCAATATCCCATTTAATAATATTTTCACTAAAATTATTGAGGAAAGTATTTTCGATAAAATTAATTTGCAAACGCTTTTCTTTTTTAAAAAAAAATAAATAAATAAATAAAGACTTACTCTGGAATACCAGCTCTATGAGCAAAATCAACAGCTCCTTTACCACATCTGCCTAATGCTCCCATAACCATGACACGTGGCCATTTTCCACGAACAGCAACTATAAAAGAAAAGTTACTTATTTAAACCTTGTCCCTCTTTTGACATTCCCTTAAAATCTTGATATGATACCTGCACCGTCCAATCGATTTTGAATATAATTGACTAATTCGTTTTCATCAGGATAGGGCTCAACGGGAGGAAATTTTTGTTTAGGATGTAATTGCTGATGAGCCCAAACATCAAGACCAAGGGATGCTCCAGCAAATCCAGCATGATAACCAAATGCTGCAATACGACGTCCTTTTGCATCTACTAAAAATTCTAAATCAAGAATAGTTCCATTCCCCTTGATAAATCTATTTAAAATCTCTTTCCATCCTCCCTGATTTTTAAAACAATGAGCGAAAAAAATATGTTGATGCGAAAGAGGTGAATCATCATTTTCTGGTAATTCTTTAAGTCCGATAATATATGCATCAGTTGGTGCATTCTTCCACGTTAAAGTCGGTACAAGAGTACATCCCATCCTAAATAAACATTAAAGTTTACTTTTTTTTTTTAAAAAAAAAAAAAAAAAGTTAAATTACCGTTCGTATTCCTCATCATCAAATATTCGATCCACAGATTTTTCCACAGAAATTTGAAATCCTAATTGATGCATAATCATCAGACGTTGAACCTTAAAGCCAATCAAGCTTTTTGGACAAACAAAATTTCAAAAATTATTATATATTTGTACCATTCTTAAGCAATTCTTTACAAGCTAAAGGTGTTAATGCCGCCCGATGTTCCTTTGGCTTTGTTTCTGCTCGTAACCATAAATGAACCATATTTTAAAAATTATTTTTGTAAACCAAATATTTTTTGTAGATTTATTGATGTTTCCCGTCCTTGTTTACACAAAGTTAGGATGGAATTGATCAATCAAACTGGGGCTCCCCCCTTCTTGTGATACACATCGTGCTGGTGTTGATCATTTGTTTTTGTTAGAATCATATCATATCAAATATTCATATCATTTTCTTCTTGTGAAGTTTTTTATTATCTTAATAGACAAAGTCGCAATACAAACATTTTTAATATTAACATAATAGATTTAAAACTAATCCTATTTCTTTTATATATGGGTCATTTCATAATGAGCGATTAAGGACATTTTATGTTTTGATTATTAATATCACATGAACACTTTATTTACTTAAATATTGTAATATTTTTTTTTATGCTTATTTATTAATTAAATCAAATGTAAGGTTAAAAATTGGTGTGTAGTAAATTTTATTGAGATTAGAGATATGTTATATAAAATAAAGAAGAATGAAATTATCAAATAAAATGTTATTTTTTAAATCTAACATAATTTTTATAGGTTGATTATGATTGTTCAGTTTGTATGATATTTGTTTCAAGATCAGATGAGGTTAAGATTTGGTAAATTCTTTTTTTAGAAAATGAGTTTTTTAGAAATCATCATATTTTAATATGTATTTTTTTTTAGGATACTATTTTAATTGTTTGTGTATATAGAAAATGATTACAAATAATTTAATATAACATTTAATAATTGTTATAAAAATTTTACATAATATAATTAATTTATGTAGTTTTGTGATTTTTAATGTCTGAAAAAGTTTAGGTTTGATTGAAATACATATTAAAGTTTCTGATATTCTTCAATCATTCTTTGATCTGTTATAAAGGCTGATATGTCAAGGTATGAGATATCATCATTTTTCCATATAGAACATCTGCTAAGTGTGACATATGCTTGTTCTAGTAAAAAAATGTTTTGATTTAATGTGAAAGAGACTTTTAGTAATGTCAAACTTTAGGGTTTATATACTGTGAGAGCGAAAGAATTCTGAAGTGAATATTGTATACGTTTACAATTATTTTCATGTAATTCAAAATAATGTATTTTTTTATAAATGTAATATCTATAATAGAACCTCTGACTGAAAAAGTAACACAAATATTTTGATTTTCAATATCAAGGTCTGTAATTATATCAACAGTATTATTGCAAATTTTTTGTTGCATCAAGAAGTTGTCTCAAAATATGACACATATACTTGATTGAAGTCAAATAGAAGTTGGAAAATTTATTTTTGTTTTAAACATAAATTCAGAATATGATAGTAGAATTTATTATATCTATTAGCTAGGGAGATCAAAATTTTTCTATCAGGTACAGGTGACATATTGCAGATCATTCTATTGATTTGTTGAGTAGTTTCTTTATATTCAATAATATTAGTTATATTTAGGTATTGATGGTAAATCATAATAAGAATTTAAAATATCATCTTTATAGAATCTATTATGTTTAAGAGCTAATATTGTTTATTCAAATTTCTTCTAATATTTTATAAAAAGGATTATTTGATTGTTGTTATTGTGGGTTTGTTAAAAATAAAGGATGAAATAATCTTCAACAAGTTGCATAAAATATTGGTTCGCCTATAACTGGGTAAGATCATTAACAATAATCATATTTATACTTTCAAAAGATATAGCATTATTAATGAAGCTTGCAAAAATGTTAGATATAAAGTCAAATAGTTTTGTAGATATCATTGATATCTCTTCAATAAATCTTACATTTATTAAGCTCTTGGTTTACATAAGCTCAAGTATGAAAACCTTACTGTAAAGTTACGATCTGTAAAATATAATGTATAGTTGTTCTTCTAACATTTTATATAGTAACTCCAATAAATGTTAGCAAGAGATAATTTGATCCTCTTTAGTCAAGAACATTGGTAATTAGTTTTAATAGATATAATTTACCAGTTCCTGTAGAACTAGTAATAAAATAATATGGCCATTTAATTCTATCATTATGACTTATATATGAAGTAATAGTAAATAATACATGATATTGATCTTGGGTAATTTAAGAACTGCAGTTTGAGAAAATATATAAGGAAGTATTTTAATATTTTCTGTATATTTATGATATTCTAAATATTATTAGATATCTCATGTTGTAAAGATTTTAATAATCCATCTAATATTTTAGAAAATTGATTATTTAGATGAGTTACACTTGATTGATTTCTGCTTACAACTTCATTATATAAATTATTCAAATAATCTGGAAATAAGGATAAAAACTTTTCACAATAAGTTCTATTTAGATCTATTCTATAATCAGACTCATTTTTAGTAGGAATTGTTAAAAGCAGTTTTTGATAAAAGAATAATTGTGTATCTTCTAATTTGAGAAAACAATATCATATCATAATTTTTTTGAACATTTTACTACATAATTCTTGAAACAACTGTCACAAAGTTGATGGTCTTGAAGGAAAGATAGAATAAAATTAAAAATATTAATATTATCATCATAATATGGATTATCATTTATATCATTTATCATGTATATAAGAAGTATAACTCAAATTCTCAAATCAGGTAGATCTGTAGTAAGAAATTTTACTATAACTGATGAATTACATATTTAATATCTTAAGAATAAGAACATTAATTCTATCGAGCTAAGTCTTTAAGTGATAACATGTTCTTTTAAAATATCACCTTTTTGTATATTAAATATATGTAAAGGTATTCTTTTAATAATGTATTTTACCATATTTTGAGTAAATTCTCTATCAGTTATATACTGAATATTCATGTGAGCATTCCATAATAAGAGAATAGCTGGATAATATAGAATTATCCAGAAATCTGCATCAGTCAAACATTTGTAAATGTAACAGGAAGCATCCTCTTGATAGTAAGTTATTTGACTATAAGGATGTGAAAAACCTTTTTTGCATATTGACCTTATAAAGCAGGATAGAATTTCCGTTTAAAAATAAAATATTTGAATATTTGTTTATCAAATAAAAAAAATCAAATAATTGAAATTAATTGACTAATTTCAAATATTCGAAACCATTTCAAATATCAAAAATCATTTCAAATATCGAAATTAATTTCTGATTATTGCAATTTAAATATTTACTAAAATATTTGATAAACTTTACAGAAACTCAAAAAATTCTAACGATAACTTTACCATACTTTGACGATAATCGAATCAAGGTCGTTAAGTTTATCTTTACTATATCATTTCGATGTAAATACGATATCGATACAATATCAATAATAATATCGAAATGGTATTGAAATGATATCAATACGATATTAATATCAAAATAGTATCGATACGATATCGATATTAATATTGAAATGGTATTGATATGACATCGATTTGTTATAAATTCAATATCGATTCAATTTCTTTACGATACTGATACAACATCTATTCAATATCGATATATTTACAAATCGAAATAATAGTATAATATCATTTTATATTTTTTTATATTGAAATAGTAAATATTTATTAATAATTAAAGTTCATTATTTATTTATT